TTTCACGTACCTGTTGGCCATCTGTGTGTCTTCTTTAAATTTTTTTTCAACATTTATTTATTTTTGGGACAGAGAGAGACAGAGCATGAACGGGGGAGGGGCAGAGAGAGAGGGAGACACAGAATCGGAAACAGGCTCCAGGCTCTGAGCCATCAGCCCAGAGCCCGACGCGGGGCTCGAACTCACGGACCGCGAGATCGTGACCTGGCTGAAGTCGGACGCTTAACCGACTGCGCCACCCAGGCGCCCCAGTGTGTCTTCTTTAGAAAAATGTCTATTCAGATCTTCTGCCCATTTTCTTAAAAATTTTTTTTAAATGTGTATTCATTTTTTTGAGAGACAGAGTGTGAGTGGCAGAGTGGGAGGGGCAGAGAGAGAGGGAGACACAGAATCCAAAGCAAGCTCCAGGCTCGGAACTGACAGCACAGAGCCTGATGCGGGGCTCAGACTCACGGACCGCGAGATCATGACCTAGGCTGAAGTCAGATGCTTAACCACCTGAGTCACCCAGGCACCCCTGCCCATTTTTAATTGGATTTTTTTTTTTTTTTTTTTTTTTTTTGCTATGGAGTTATATGAATTCTTTATGTATTTGGATATCAGCACCTTATCCGATGTATAATTTGCAAATATTCTCTCCAATTCAACAGGTTGCCTTTGCCTTTTGCTGATGGTTTCCTTTGCTGCACAGAAGCTTTTTAGTTAAATGTAGGCCCATGTGTTTGTTTTTGCTTTGTTGCCTTTGATTTTTGGTACCGGATTCAAAAACGTCATCACCAAGACCTATGTCAGGAAGCTTACCGCCTGTTTTCTGGGAGTTTTGTGGTTTCAGGTCTTCCATTCAAGTCTTTAACTTATTTTGAGTTCATTTTTGTCTATGGTGTAAGATAGGGCCCAGTTTCACTTTCTGCATGTGAATATCCAGTTTTCCCAGCACCATTCATTGAAGAGACCATCCTTTTCCATTGTATGTTCTTGGCTCCCTTATTATAAATTAACTGACCATATATGTATAGGTTAATTCCTGATTTTATTCACTTGAGCCCTCTCTCTTTTTTTATTGCTGAGAGTAGCTAAAAGCTGGCCTTTCAATTTTGTTTGTCTTTTCAAAGAGCCAACTCTGGATTTCATTGATCTTGTCTATTGTCTTTTTCATCCTCATTTCATTTATTTCTGCTCTAACCTGTGTTATTTCCTTCCTTCCACTAACTTTGGGCATCACTCGGTCTTCTTTTTCTAGTTCCTTGAGGTGGAAAGTTATTTATCTGGGACTTTTCTTGCTTTTTTTTGAGATAGGCATTTATGGCTATGAGCTTTCCACTTAGAACTGCTTTCGCTACGTCTCACAAATTTTGGTATATTTCCATTCTAATTCATCGTCGGGTATTTAAAAAATTTCTTTTGGTTTCTTCTTTGACCTATTAGTTGTTCAGCAACATGTTTAATCTCCACATATTTAAGAATTTTCTAGGTTTCTTCGCATAATTTCTAGTTTCATACCATTGTGGTCAGAAAAGGTGGTTGGTATGAATTCAATTCTCTTTTAATTTATTAGGAACTGTTTTGTGGCCTAACATATGGCCTATTCTGGAACATGTTCCATGTGCACTGGAGAAGAATGCATATTCTGCTCCTTTTGGATAGAATGTTCTGTGTATCTGCTAAGTCCATTTGGACTAATGGGTAATTTAAGGCTGAGCTTTGCCTATCATTTTCTGTCTTTAAAAAAATTTTTTTAACGTATATTTATTTTTGAGACAGAGAGAGAGACAGAACATGAGCGGGGGAGGGGCAGAGAGAGGAGGCATGAGATCAAAGCAGGATTCAGGCTCTGGGCACACAGGCCCAATCTTGGGGCTACGAACTCAAGACATATCTCAAACCTGGTGAAGTGGGACGTTTGTGACTGAGCCACCGACAGCGCCCCGAATCATTTTCTGTCTGGATGATCTATGCATTGATGTAAATGGGGTATTAAAGTCTCCTACTGCTATTGTTTTGTTGTCAATTTTTTCTTTTAGGTTTTTTTTTTTCGTATTTGCTTTATGTATTTAGGTGCTCCTATGTTGGACGCATACATTTTTATAAATGCTATATCCTCTTGCTGGATTGTCTTCTTTATCATTATGTAATTTGATGTCTATTACTTAAGATGTAAAGGCATACACAGATGGAAGGTGAAGGGATGGAAAAAGATATTCCATACAGGTGGAAACCAAAAGAAAGCGGAAGTAGCTATACCTATATCAGACAAAATAGTTTTTACTTTTTTAATGTTTATTCATTTTTGAGAGAGAGAGAGAGAGAGCACGAGTGGGGGAGGTGCAGAGAGAGAGGGCGGTGAAGGATCCAATGTGGGTTCAGCACTAACAGCAAACACTTGAACCCCTGGACCGCGAGATCATGACCTGAGTCAATCAATGATCAGACTCTCAACCAACTGAGCCACCCAGGCACCCCGGACAAAACGGACTCTAAAAACAAAAGATAGTGTATATTCAGATGTAATATTTTTTACTCTATTCTGCTTTGCTTTATTTATTTTCCTGGGAATGTAGCCCCTTCCCTCTGCATGGCAGTGTGAGGGAGAAGCTGCTCATTAATATTTCACTTAGAATCAAATTAAGCTGGAATAGGGGGTGCTTGGGTGACTCCGTCGATTAAGCGTCTGACTTCAGCTCAGGTCATGATCTCGTGGTTGGTGGGTTCGAGCCCAGCATTGGGCTCTGTGCTGACAGCTCAGAGCCTGGAGCCTGCTTCAGATTCTGCGTCTGCCTCTCTCTCTCTCTGACCCTTCCCCACTCGTGCTCTCTCTCTCTCTCTCAAAAATAAATAAACGTTAAAAAAAAATTAAGCTGGAATAGGATTCATCTGTAATTAACCTAACCCCTCACCTCCTTCACCACCCGTGCCTTTTAGATCTTGCTATTTGAGGTGGGACAATGTTGGGTTGCAGTTTCCATACTTTTTTGTTTTCTTTTGTATTAAAACTCTGGAATCCAACTATTATGAAATATGCGATACCATACAACTTGCCTCTGATTTCCAGCCCCTCCTCAGTGCCACTTTCTCAGCAAAATTCCGGAGGGGATGGGACTTGTTGGGCAAGACAATTTGGTCTTGCACTGGGGGCTTCCAAATTCCAGCCTGTCTTGCCAGCCCACACCATCACATAAGTTTCATCTCATTTGTCCTTCTCCTCAAAGTCTCTGTTTTTGGCAGACTCTCTCTTCTGCTGGTCTGTACCCCAGACCAGATCCTGCCCCAAGTCTTGAGCTGTTTGGCTCTCTGCTCAACTACGAAGGGCATATTTTTTCACCGGAATTCAGTCCATCAAGGTTTTTTTTGCATACCTTGTACGTCCCGTAGAAAATCTTGATTTTTATTTTGTTGTTGTTGTTGTTGTTGTTGTTATGGGATGGAAGGACTTGTGTATCTCTCTGCATCATATCAAGAGACGAAGTCTCAGAAGTTAGTATCTTCTTGATAAAAATAGCCTAGTTGTCAGGCAATAAGACTGAAACACAGAGATAAGACACCGGTCCACGCCCAACAGGAGATAAATCCCTGAGTAATGTACCAATCTAGGATTTTTGAAGACATAGACATGAGACCAAGCAAGGGCTGTGCACTGTAAGGGAAGATCGAGCATCTTACAGAGAACGAAGACGGAAGAAAGAGAATACAAAGTCGGCTTTTCAGCAGCTCTTGGCAACTTCATAACCTTTCTTCTTTCTTCCTTCTCTGTGCCACGAATACGTGACTGATGTGTGTTTTTGCACGTGTAGCAATTACATATTTCAGGAAGACCTCTTGCGAAAAATATGAAAATAATATGGTTCAATCTTGTGAGTGAAATACTCAATTTGGGAAGTTTCATTTTTATTGTCAATGTTTCTTCGGTGCCAGACAGCTGCCTAGCTCAGCACGTGCTACTTTTATGTAGATAAAGGAAACCAACTACTCGATTTTGGCCAAGTATGTATGAAGAATGAGGAGGAGGATAGGTCGATGAATGACCCTGAAGGCCGAGGAAGGGACTAAGGATTCCTCTCCATGGGAAAAGCTTTACTTAGGTCTCAGGGGCCATGTCCTCTGTTTCCCCAGCACTCTCCAGAACTGCTGGGTTCGGGTTTAAACTGCTTGGCTTCTGGGCCCCAATATTTATTCCCACCACCGCTCCCTGACACCCCACACCCCTACGAGGCCCCTGACATTCTTCTAACAGGGAGTGGGAGGTCTCTACCAGAGAACAGTCAGTCCTGTGTTACATCTGGCTCGATCATAATATAATTATATTCATTATATTATATAGTAGATGCATTGTGTACATAATATATAATGTATGTAATCAACATAACTATACACAAAACAATTATATATAGTAGAATTATATATAATCCTATTATATATGATTACATATAACTATAATTACATAATGTGAGTTGTTACCATTTTTAGACTCCTATCGTGTCAACACATTCTTCCTATTCCGTCTTCCCCTACCGCCTTTCGCCCAATAATGCGAACTTGCTTTTCAGGTCTGCCCCAGCTGGACTCTCAGCTCCTCTAGAAAGCCTTCCCCACACTCACCTTGCCTGGGTTAGAGACCCCTGCTGCTCTCCCAGTCCCCTGGATTTTCTCTCTTGCAACACTTACCATCCTCTGTGGGAATTGCGTGTTTAATGGTTGATCTCCCCAGCAAGAACCTCGAGCTCCACGAAGGGAGAGACATCCGCTGCTTTGTCGTTCTTTATATTGCCCGCGCCCAGAAGAGTGCCTGGCACGCAGCAAGCATCCAATAAGCATTTGTTGAACAAATAGTTAATTAATGCTAGGCATTTTGTGTTATACGATGGGAAAAAAATTATCATCGTAATACATGGGCCAGTGTTTCCCCAATCCGCTAGCTCACACTTCCTTTCTTAGTCGGGGCTATAAACCGAGCAAGGGAACTTCACGTGAAACTGTCTCTTTGCCGGAGGAACGCCTTCCTGTCCACATATGATTACACGCTGGAAGAAGATGGGTCAGCACTACCTGTGGACCTTGCTCCTTTGCCTGCAAACCTGTGAGTTCTGACCTTTGTTGGTGCCCTTCCTAGACTTCCATTAAGTTTGAGAAATCGCCCTTGAGGAAGACTTTGACTTGCCCTCTTGGTCTATGTTAGTGCGCACACCCTGGGTCTCAAAAGGTATACAACTGGCTGGGGAGAGACCTAGGATCCAAACGTAACTGTCCTTCAGCTTTAGAGTTTATATTTCTGAATTTTATCTGTGCCCAGTGTCCAACGGTTTGAGACAAACCCCTCTGCTCCAGAGCGACAGCACTTGGTAAGCCCACCCAGAAAGCCATCTAAAACCTGGAATAACTTAAAAGCATTTCTTTTTGGCCTTAGATTCTGGTGCATGGTTTTTGACAGAGGTGTGCCCTTCCTGGGGATGTGTCCTTGCCCCCCCAGGTTAGAGTAATGCATGCTCGTAATTATCATCGTGGACACTTTATCTCTCTTAGCTCCCTTTGTTTTCAAAGCACATTCAGAACTATTATTATTCTGCTTCTGTCCTCCAAAACCGTCTAAAATAAATGAGGAAGAGACTGGTATTTCCATTTTGCAAGTAAGTTAGATCTCAAAAAAGAAATGGAGAACTCGAAATACTGTTTTTCTTACCTCCGGTTTAACAGTAACCTACAAGGACACATGAATATTTGTTGTTGTTAGTACAAAGAAAACTATGCAACATTAACACAGCTCTGGGAGTGTCTTGTCATTGCCTGTATTTTCTCATTAAATTCAAACAATAGCCTTCTGTATATAAAAATTGACTATGCTCGACATTTCTATTATTCTATTTTTTTTTTTTTTTTTTGAGAGAGAGAGAGAGAAAGAGAGCTCACGTGCACATGTGTACCTGTGTGAGCAGGGGAAGGGCAGGCGTAGGGGGAGAGAGAATTCCAAGGCAGAGCCCAATGCGGGACTCGATGTCACGACCCTGAGATCACGACCTGAGCCAAAATCAAGAGTCAGACACTTAACCGACTGAACTATCCAGGTACCCCTGATGACATTTCTAAATCTACATATAGTCTCTCCTACCCCCTTGGGAAAATGGACGAGCAAATTCCTGGCATGTGTTAGAACACAGAGAATCTGGTGGGTTGGGATTTCCTAAAAAGGTAGAAATCAATACACTTTGCTCTCTCTGGTTCCTTTGACCATTTAAAACTGTGGCTCCTTTCATTTGAGCTCCATGGAGATCGCCACTACCAGGAATAGATATTGTTAATCCCGTTGCATACAAAAAAAGTATAAGCTAAGATCAGATTAAACAATGCACCTAAAGTTTCACAGCCTGAAATTTATAAGGCTTGAAAGGGACAGTGGTTCTTCCATTCCCAGAGCCAGAGATCTTTCTGCTACCCTCTTTCTGGCCTCCTCTCATTAAGTTTTCAACGTCTTTAAAAAAAATTTTTTTTTAATGTTTATTTATTTTTGAGAGAGACAGAGTGCAAGCCGGGGAAGGGCAAAGAGAGAGGGAGACACAGCCTCCTAAGCAGGGCTCCAGGCCCCGAGCTGGCAGCCCAGAGCCTGACGTGGGGTTTGAACCCACAAACTGTGAGATCACGACCTGAGCCAAAGTCGGACACTTAACCGACCGAGCTGCCCTGGAGCCTCAAGTTTTCAATTTCTTGATGCTCTTTGAAGTGCTCGCAGATTTACTGTGATCCCTATCAAAATACCCAGAGCATGTTTCCCAGAACTAGGATAAACGATCCTAAAATTCAGACGGAACCACAAAAGACCCCCAAGAGGCAGAGCAATCTTGAAAAAGAAAGAGTGCTGGAGACATCACAATCCCTGAGTTATCCTACAAAGCTGTAGTAATCAAGACAGTATGATACTGGCACAAAAGTAGACACATAGATGAATGGAAGAGAGTAGAGAGCCCAGAAATAAACCAATGATTATATGGTCAATTAATTTTCAACAAAGGAGGCAAGAATATGCCATTAAAAAAAAAGAATGTTCTTCAACGAATGGTACTGGGGGAACCGGACAGCCACATGCAAAAGAACGAAACTGGACCACTTTCTAGCATCATATACAAAAATAAACTCAAAATGGATTAAAGACCTAACTGTGTGATAAGAAACCATAACAATCCTAGAAGAGAGCACAGGCTGTAATTCTGCAACATGGGCCATAGCAACGTTTTTCTAGATATCTCTTCTGAGGCACAGGCAACAAAAAGCAAACATAAACTATGTGGACTGCGTGAAAAGAAAAGCCTTTTGCACAGCGAAGGAAACCGTCGAGAAAACTAAAAGACAACCTGCTGAATGGAAGAAGGTGCTCGCAAATGACACATGCAAAAGATTCCTCTGAAACCACTGAAATAAAAGAAGTCTGAGCAGGCAAACTCATGACTCTTCCATGTTGGAAAACTTTTCTCAAAGAGCCAAGACTCACAGTCTTATGCTTCAAATGCCACTCTCTCATCATGACTTGTGACTATGATCCTGACTGACTCTGCACGTGTCTAGCCACCCACCCTCTTGGGTAGAAGGTGGAAAAGTCCCCCACTTCTGCTCCGTGCCCCTTTCCTTCTCTGTGTTCTTTCTCGTGCTCTTTTAATTCTTCCTTTTCTCTACACTTGCTTTAGTTTCTTCAACCCCTCACCCACCTTGCCTTTCCTGCCCTCCAGCGATAATAGTAATAACTAATCACTTATGGATCATTGCTCTACATTGTCTATAGGTATTATTTAGCTTAATCCCCACAATAGCATACGAGACGAGTATTATCCATACCCCAACTTTGCAGATGAAACCCAGAAAACTAGAGATCGTTTAGCCAAAGCGTGGAGGAAGTAGGATTTGAACTCCAAAGTCTTTAGACTGAACCACTGAACAAGACTGCCTTTGCCCACTTTGACGCTGACACGGAAGAAAATACTGCCCCCACTGTTGATCGTGATTGCATTTTGGGACTTGTCAGTGGAGAGTGGTGATTTATTCCCGCAAAGACAGGAGTATTCAGGCAGAGAATGGGGCTGGTGGGCAAGTCTTTGACAATAAACAGAAGTGTAGGCAGGCCACTGAGGCAGAATATCCAAGGAAATGACCATATCCAGACATGGTTCAAGTACCAGTCATATCCATATGATGTGAGTTGACTCAAATTAGCTTCTTCAAAGTAAACAAAGAGAGAGGCTGCTAACTTTCCCAAGGTCTCATGGCTGTCCAATATCAACAAGGTCTTGATGTCCTGTCGAACGTATAATACAGTGAGTGGGAGCATTCCAGAAGTCGATAGTTAGAAGTCTAAGAGGTGAGTGGACCCACTGGGTATCTATCTGTCCACAGATAAGTCCCAGCCATCATCCTGGGAGTTAGACACAAGACTTTGTGGCTGGAGAGTCCTGTAAGATCCCACTGGTCACTAGTCCAGAGTCCTTGTAGAGAGCGACTTTTGAGATAAAGATAAAGCCTCTGTTCTAGAAAGAGGTTTGGGTAGGTTGTTGCCAAAATCAGAAAGGCTTCCAAAGCAGAAGCCCAGTTATAGAAAAGAAAAAAATATGTATGGGGGAAACTGGATATCAAGATATCAGCTCAAAAATCCAGTTTCCAAATAGAAGCTGGGAAGCTGCATCTGTGTGCCAACACGAAACTAAGAGGAGGCGGCCTGATGCACTGAGGCATGAGATCAGCATGGTGACTGACCAAGCAGCCAACGTGTCTTCACAATGGGAGCTCCAAGTTCAGTGCTAAGCCACCCAGGCTATTCAGGTGTTTCCTGAATCAAATCTTTCCTGTCCTGAACCTTAGAGACAAATGAACCTGCAAATCTGGGGTTACTAGGCTTACCTATGCGGAAGCTAGAAAAGAAAGAGGTATGAGCGATCAGTTGGGGGACAGATGTTGGTGGCACGAGGCACCCATATTTTCTTCATTATACTCAACTTTTGATTGTACGCCACAGAGGCAAGTGGTGATAGGACAGTGGTTGGCCAGGATCCCAACCCGGGTTTGAGAACTTGTGTGCATGTTTGTTTTCATTTGTTTGTTTTGAAGAAATGGATCAAGTCAACCCAGACCTCAAAGAAGATGACAGAAAGTAAAAAGAATCCAGCCGACAATAGTAGAGTATCGTGTGGGGGTGTCGGTTCCTTTTCTTAAAGCCTCGTGACCGAGGACCTGCCACCCTCATGGAGAATGACACAAAACTGGCTGCTCAACCCTTTGCTTCCTCTCTGGTCTCTGCTTCCCTTCACTCAGTGTAATCTGCTGGAGCGCACTCTCTTCCAGGGGCTGTAGGGCGCAGCCACCTCCAGCCCCCCTTCCGGGGCTGCAAAATCGGGGGGGGGGGTTCTCCCCCGACTTATTGATCTAGGAGAGGCAGTGGGTGGGAGGAGAGGAGGGGATGGTTAGTTAGAGCCCAAAAAAGCCCAAGAAATGCTTATTTGAAGGATCCTGGAGATGCCAGGGCACGCAGATAGGCGTTAGGCAACAGCACACTCTTCCTCGTTGCTGCTTTCGGTGGCAGCTCTGTGCTGGCTTTCTCCAACGTGTCTCCTTGTCCCTTTGGAGTTGCCTGGGGTGTTATTTTCATCCCTGTAACCACAGCTCTTTGCTTGATATAACAAACGCATACAAGCGCCTGCTATATGCCAGGCATTGTTCTCAGAAATTTCCAAACATTAACTCATTTAACCCTTGTAACACATCTACGGGGTAAGTGCCACTAGTCGCTTCATTTTAAAGCTGATAAAACTGGGGCACAGAGAGGTTGCTCACTTTCCCAGGGTCTCATGGCTGTCCAGGACTCTAGGCTCAGGCAGTCTGGTTTTTCTTCGTTAAGGGGACCCCCAAGCCCACACCCCAGGGTTCCAGCCTTTTCTTGCCTTTGCTTCTCCTGTAGTATTGCTATGCTCTCCCCTCCCTTCTGTGGTCTGGTGTATGAAGTCAGGAAGTCACCCTCATCGAGAGATGTTGTAAATACGGGTCACCTCTTCTTCACTGGCCTCCCAAGGCTGGTCAGCAACCCCTTTATCCTTTTAATCAATGTGT